CAAAATCGTCAAGAGATGGTGAACTAGGGTCGGCCTGATTATCTCTAAGGCGTGTGCGCAAGGTCCTCTCTATTTTAGAATCAAAATCAGCCAGGTCAGAACAGGAAGCTTTAGTGGCCAGGACTACCAATGCAACAACAAATCTGATAATGCCCACAATGTCCCTAAAGGTCAGAATCAAAATCAAAGAAGGAAGATGGTTAAAATAAAATCGGAAAAATCTAAAAACACAAAATTTAACCTAATTAGGTTAAATGAGAATTTTGGAAATTTTATTGGATTTTTTCGAGACTATGAAAACAGTAAAAAAAATAATTAAAAATAGAGAAAATTAGGAATTTGACGATTTGAAGGGCTAACTCCCGTAACTCTTCCAGAGTAGGAGACTTTTGATCTCACGATTTTTCTGCTTCAAATGCACGAAACAGAACTAAAAAAGGAGGCGATTTGCCTAAAACCGAGTTTTTTTGACTAGGTCTGACGCGAAACGGGCGAAACGGGACGGCCGGACGCGAAAATGCAAGAAAATGCACAAAAATGCATAAAACTAAAACAAACAGTACCTAAAACTAGACTATTGGCTAAATCGACAAGAATCCCCGGCAACGGCGCCAATTTGACCGGCTGTCGCGCGCGGATCATTAACGAGTGTTTTTAAAATGTAGTAAGGCGACAATAACTCAGATGTCGATTCACAAGGATTCTTGTTGATGAAATAACCAATTGAAAACGGTTGGGGGGTTGTTTTGATTTAGAATTTGATTAAGAAAATAAACGTAAAATAAGTGATTTTTAAAATAAGTGATTAAAACAGGTTAATCTACCGCTTCGACTCCCAACTTATCATCGGTCATTACAATTCCAATTTCCCAAGTGGCTCCAATCCCTATTCAATTGCAATATTGACGAACAAGCGTCGACAATATCACATGACTTATATTCCTAATTACCGAATTAAGCAAACGGTTAAACATGGCGCAAATTAACGAAAAAGCTAAGTTAATCCGCGATTAAGGTAAGGAACATCAATCAATCGAATTAAATCCAATTTATTTTATAAGAACGAATTAAGCAAACGAAAATTATAAAACAAATTGGAACATAATTGAATTAAATCGGAATTATAATAAACCTCAAAGGATTACGGAATTCAAAACCGGCAAATTTTCCCTCGGGATTAGTTCGCCATGGAATACATGAAAGCAAAAGAAAAGTTCGTGAAAACTAGGGTGAAGACTGCTGTAGCACGGCAATAAACCTTATAAACAAAATAAGATTTGCATTACACACTCAACTGGGTCGGAGACATAAACCAGGCCCAATAGGGATGACCTAAAACAACTAAATTATTACATTCAGAAACTTCAATGAATTATTTGAGACTCATTCATTCTGAATCAGATTCTCCGTGCAACATAAAAGTTGTAGATCCTTTTCTTAGCTTTCCAACGACTGGTAGAAAGCCTCGATCTGATTCTTATAGCTCCCGTTATGATTTTTTTATTAAAAGCTGCTAATGCTAAAAATAACAAACGAAAATCAAATAAGGTTGAAAATAAATTAAATTGTAAAAACATCATAAAATAGCAAAATAAACAAACCAAACTATAAAAATGCTTAAGTCTAAACATAGAGGAAGATGCATCAAAATGCACTGATCAGACGTCATAACATTGAATCTCAATTAAGTTAAATGGGAAGACATTACTCTAATTTTCAACATTCTCATCTTGATCAAGAAAGGTCTTGGATTAGGCATAGTCACAAAACTCTTTAAAACTAATATTCCCTCAAGAGACCATCAGTAGTAAGCCAAAACCGCCCTAGGTTTCTTGATTCTCAAGTCTTATAGTAGCTCAAACCCTAACCTCCTTAGGACCATCCATTGCCTCATCAAATCATTTGTTTCAAATATCTAAGGATGATGCTACTAATGACCTCATGATAGAGTTTGGTGGAAAATGAGGGTGTGACAACATGAGATTAAGGTTCCCATATATTTTGAACAACTGTTGTGCTGCTGATTGGATAAGTTTAATATTCTGCTCTGACCAAAATTCTGAAACACCAGAATAACCAAAAAAATTAAAATACCAGGTTCATAAGTCCACACTGATAGAGAAGATAGTTACTTCATGGACTGATAATGTTAGACACCTTGAAAATACAACTACTAACAGAGTTGAGTTGGCTCATGTTACTTTGAAATTTTGGTTGGAAAATAGTAAATGAAATTTGTGTAGAGTCTGGGACTCCGAGAACCACATGATTCAAAACCAGCATAATGAGGTATAAACAACATTTGGTCGGAGCATCACGATTTTAGAAAATGGATTTAAAGATAACACTCTATATTCTCAGTTGGTTGGTAACATATCTCAAGCGGGTTTGAACTATATTTTTCACGAGGCTAAACGAGCTGATAATGTGGGCTCCGATAGCGCAAAGTGTGGATGCACTATTATAAAAATATATGGTCTCCTATGTGCTTGTGTTATTGCTAAAAAGGTTAAACTTGGTGAACCAATAAGAATGACGAGGTTTACTCTCATTGGAAGAGACTTAGATTTGATGATGATGGATACATGGATAACGATAAATCGAATATCTCTATTTTGACCGAGTGAAAAGTGATACAAGAGAGATTTTCGAAGGTCGATAACAACATGAAACTCCAAATCAAAGAAAAGTTGAGGAATATTGCCTATCCCGAAACCACCGATATGAAACCGCCTTCTCAATCGGTAAAAACAAAAGGTGCTCCGAAGAAAATGAAGCCTACAACTAATGACAACTCGATTACACGATCTCCTTCATATTTTAAACACTTTGACAAAGTTTTTCCCGACTCACCGACTCCAAAGTCTCAAAAAAGTGTTGTGAAAGGAGCCCGCATTAGCAAACCACCTCCGACGCCGCTTCCACCAAAGATTTCATTCATCGATGAGATACCGATTTTTATGCACAAATATCAAGCGGATCATCAATGATGTGGGCGGACAAAATTGCGGTTACTGAGCCGTTTCGTCTTTACTCGGTAAAGGAGAAGATAGTCATACACTTGTCTGACATTAACTAATCCAAGAGTTGAAGACGCATAGAGAATTGTACACGCAGTTGTACGGAAAGAAAATTTCGATGCGATGTATGAGTCTCTTGTTCCTTGATTGAGCGGTCCGGCACCAGAGGCAGAATGGATGCGCTTCCCTAACATGAGACACCTAATAACATGTACATATGATAGAGTGTGTGTTAATCTGACACACTATGATTTTTCGAAAATCTTTTTTCCACTGCGCACTACTTCACCCCCAAAATTCAAATTATTGAATCATGTGTATTTAATGGCTTTCAAAATCAAGTCATTGTATTCAAGTTTACTTGAAACCGAGATGCTCTATACCACTTACATCATCGAAGTGGACGAATCATTCAACCGCAAAAGCCAAGACGTGGCCGGATTATTTTAGGAAAAGGATGCAAGAATTCGAGAGATTGAACAACATTGAAAAAGAATCGAATGCACAAAAGTCCAAGAGGACACCACCTATAGATTTTACCAACGACATATGTTTCAATTCGTTTTGATTTCTTGTTTAACCGAACAAATAATTGTATGTAATTGTGTCTCAATACTTATATTCACCTTTTGTTCATATTTTGTCTTTATGCATTTTTTATATTTCCATATCAACATGACAAATCTTATCAATGGAAAAATAAGGTTTTGTTATATGGTTCTGTTTTAAAACTGCTTCAAGACAAATTCGGGATATGTATCTTCAAAACAAGATAATAAGGTGCGATTTTAGAGATATATCTCCGGAATCAATATTATAGTTAATAAGTGGTCCTTAATGATCTATGACTTTTCTATAAATTTAGGTGCTCTAATGCTATATTTCACACAAACACAAAATGTCTCAAATGTTAGAAATAAACATCTATTAGTATGTCGCAAATGTGTCCTTCTTCGGCTCTACACTAGGTCGGACGTTCAAGCTCAGCGACTTCACCTCCCTTGAAGATATCAAAAACGAAATCCATCATCTCCTACCTTACAGATATACAATCGAAAGGTTGTGAAACTCGAGTACCGTTCACTTTTGATTGACAATGGAGGAAAGACTCACTTCACCAAATTTGAGCTCAAGATGCAAGCGAATGTTAGGGCTAGTGGGATACGTTTTTCAATTTCGAAGAGAAATTAATTTTTACTCGAGTTGGAAGCAACGTACAAAGATCGGTCGAAAATATTCTAAAGATATACAAGCATCCACCGAAATATTGAAATGTAATATTAATTTTTTTTATTGAATCATCATTGTAATGATCATTTTATGGTATGAATGTCAATTTATTTTACAAAGTTACTCTTTTGTTGAATCTATTAAGTTACTATTTTGTTGAATCTATTTCTGTTATGAATTTGGATATATAACTACGAAATTATTTCAAAGATACGTCATTTGTTGAGGATAACTCAAAAATACAAAATTATCTCAAATAAATTAAACTAAAAAAAAGAACATAACTCAAAACGACCTTTGTTGAAAATGTATTGAAATACCTCTGAAAATATATTTTCAAAATTTAAAAACATATATAAAATTTCACGTGATTCATTAGAAACATCTAGAATACAATAAAAATTCTCTTAAAATTTAAAGAAGAGTTTAGACTCCATAGATTCACTAATATCAGAACAGATCTCAAAGCTCATAGCCACTAACGATGTCCTCGTATCAGTAGGAGGAGCAGGGGAAGTTGAACCCACGATCTCTCTGAGTCGACTTAATCATTTAGCACTTTTGTTATAAAATGACTTAGAAACATATTTTCATAATCATAAAATAGAACTGGCATGGTTCAGACAATTATAAACGATTGATGCAATAATCTGCAAAGTTTTATACAAAGATACACAGAGATAGATAGATTTACAAGGTAGCTACAAAATAGATATTAATTAAAAGATATAGATGCATGCATTTGTGAGATCAATTGGGACCCCAACAGCTCAAATACATAACAGTCCTAAGAGACTCTTCAGCACGTTTAATCTTATCACCGTTACCACCTTTGAAAGCAGAGGCTGAATTATCAAAAGAAGAAGAATTAGAGAAAAGCCTAGCTTTAGCTTGTTTAGAAGAACTAGAATCCCTTAGAGACTTGATAGTTGAATCACACTTTGAGGTTTGATCTTTCATGCCCTGAAGTGTTCTCATTGCAGTTTGGTACAACACTCTTCCTGTGTACCTCAAACTCATCACAATAACAATTCTTTTTATATGAAATGAAAACTGCTGAAGAAGAAGAAGAAGAATCTTTTTGTTGCTGAAAAATCGGTGTGTGAGAGTTATAAGAATGAATAGGTTATTGTTTTGTTTTATAAAAAGGAAAAAACATGGGGCTACTACCTGTTGGAAACGGTTAAAACAACCGGCTGTGAACAACGAGCGTGACACAAATCTGTGGGCGGAGGAAGGACACGTGTCGGTTGCCAGATTTACGTGTTGAATGACGCAGTTATGTTTGTTATTCGATTGGACTTAAATCAAACAGAGATTTAAATTACTGTATTTGGATTTGATTGATGTATGATGACCCACGTACACGTAGAAGTAGATGTATACGAATGTTTCTTATTGTTCTTCTACGTGTTTATCGGTTTGTACAGTACTCGTATTCAGGTATTATGTAGTATGTACGTATACAGCTCATGGGTTTTATCCAGTTTCTGACTATGTAGGGAGTTGACTTTTACGTCGAAATATGGTGGATTTAACTCCTGTTTTAGATGTGAAGATTTTTGTGTGAATAATCTATAAGTATTTTTATAAGTATTATCTTTGTTTTACAAATTTTTTTCGAGTCTCCGAAATGCAATTCATCTCAACTTTATCACATAAAATAGTTATATATTAAATATAATACTATGTACACGGGTTGCATTTTGCTGCTACTATAAATTTTTATTATGTATTAAATAGTATTTTCATCTCCACAAATTTAAATGTTTTTGTTTTTAGTTTTTTTTTATAAACAATTTTTGAATGTTAAAATTATTTTGGTCTTAATTAATTTTAAAGAAAAATCTATAGGAAAAGTCGAAGAAAATTTATAAAAAGTCTATCAATTTTAAATTTGTAAGAAAATTCGAAGAAAAATTTGTTCGAAATCTATAGATTTTCTTACCAATTTTAATTTTAAAGACTAAATAAAAAAATTAACATTTAAGGATTATTTAAAAAAATTAAAAAAGTAATACTCTTGATTCTTTAATAGTGAGTTGGACTTTCTTTTCTGATGGAAGAGATTTTGGTAGAAATAGTTGGTCGAAATCTTTTCCAACAAGTTAACTTAAACAAAGAGAATATTTAATTTTTTTTACTATTATGCCAAGTAAGCATTAATTAAGAAACTTTGGAATTCTAATTAGTATATTTGGTTGGACTTAAATCAAATAGAAATTCAAAGTACTATATTTGGATTTGATTAATTAATAAATTAATCAATGACTTAAGTGTACAAAATAGATTTCTCACTTAATATGGGACTAGAGCTTCCACAACCCTAGTAAGAATATGTGAAGGTTTCGACCATGATAGAAAAATCGAAAAAATTGAAATAAATAAGGAGGAGATTTAGACTATAAAAAATATTGAGAGAAAAAACTAATTCGCATACACGTAATTGATTGTACTTTTATGTCAATCTGTCACATCTCTTATAAATTAATTAACAGAATTTACAGTTGTAAAGTACAACCGATTGACATATTATGTCTACCCGTTACACTTGAAAAAATTAGTTTAAAACTAAAATAGTGAGTTAGTGCAACTGAATGACATAATGCGTCAACGGTTATATTTGGGAGTTGTTAGTTTTATTTTTGTTTGATAATCGTACATTATCATGTAATTGTATTAATACCTTTGTGGTATCTTGTGAATGAAAGAATGCATTTTTTCAACCTTAATTATCACTCTTTCTCATTATCTCCCTCTCCACACTAAATTACTCAATCATTCACCAACATTGTGGTTACAGGTTCCAACATATGGCATCAAGAACCTGATTCGATCCATCAAACACTTAGTGTGAAAACATGACTTTTGTCTCCAATGAAAGAATCCATGCAAATTTCTCAATTCTTGATACGAAGAATTACGACAAGTGGTGCAAACAAATGAATGTCTTGTTTGGCTATTAAGATGTTCTTGAAGTGATCAAGAACGGGGCAACTAAACTTGTAGAAGGTGCAACAGATGTACAACGATCTAATCATAAGAAGAAGAAAACAAAATATTTCAATGCGTTATTTTTATCCATCAATGTGTTAATGTGGATAATTTTGAGAAAGTTGATGGATGCAATTCATCGAAGCAAGCGTGGGAAATCTTGGAGAAAGAGTATGCAGAGGTTCACAGGGAGAAGTTTGTGAGGTTACAAACTCATAAAAGATAATTTGAGTTTATTCAAATGGAAATAAGGATACCATCAATGATTTTACGACGAGATTACTCGGTTGGTGAACCAAGTAACATCGTATGAAGAAACAGTTATACAGAATAGTAAGTTATCGCAAAAATATTGTGTTATTTGATGCCTGTAATACCCTAATTTTTAACCCTAAGATCCCAATTATCATTTTACATCTCTGCATCACAAACAAGATCACCAACTTTGGTTCTCTAGACTTTCTCTGTAGGTTTGCTTTTGAGAGAGATCACAAAGCACCCTTGTGTTTCTTATTTGCTTTATTGCTTGTTTATGTTTACTAACCCTAACCAAAATACCAAAAATATGTTTTTTTTTCTTTTATTAACCTTTTCAGGAGGAAGTTTGGATAAAGAACATCAAATACCAGTTCCTCAGCTCGAATGAAATTCATCTAAATAAAGTCAAAGTTGATTTGCAAACAATTCAAAATCATTTGATCAAGAGTTTCCCAAGATTTGATCATTTGTTACTCAAGAGACTCTAAGGTTCATGTGTTTATTTATATGCCTTCTTTGACAGGTCAGGAATCGAGGCAGAGCCAAGGCAGCACAACATAAAGTCATTTTTCTCATTTTTTCACTGTGTTAATCGATTAACACCCTGAGGTTAATCGATTAACACGTGCAATTTTTGGCCATTTTCAAATTCTATAACATTTTGGCACCAATTTTGAAATGTGATCCCATGTGGAATATTCTAAAGCATGCAAAATCATCACAAAAATAATTTCCCTACATAATCACAATTATTTCCATCATACACCCTTATTTAATCCCCACTTGATCTTTCATTTTGCTTCTAATCCAATTTCCAAGCCTAGATTAAATTCCAAACTAAATTCCAAACCACCAAAATTCCCAAGCCTAAATTCTATTGTCATACCCAAAATTTTACCCTTAGATTAGTAGGTTCATTTCGCATTTCATTTCATTCTGCATTGCATTTTAACTAACCGTTAACCGGTTTGCCCACTCTGTTGGTTTTGCAGGAAAATCACATTGTGTGTGCTTTAATTTATGAAGGGCAAAAGGGTCATTATTTTACCGTCTGTCGACGATTATGAAGCACAGTCATTATCAGAGACCCGTCAAATGATTAGGGTTTCCATCTCCGAGTCATGTGACTTCAGTTGAGAATGAGCTGAATTTTACGACGGTTTTGACGTCAAGTTTCTTGTGACACAGTACCTTTTATTCAAGAGCCGAGATCTAGTCGTCAGTTGGATTCTGAAGTGTTGTTTGCTCCCTAAACCATGTGGAGCTGAGTGCGTTGCAATACAGGTGGATTCGGGTTAAATCGGTGTGAGAATTTGTTTGGAAGAATTTATTCTAACGGACACACGTTTTCCTGCTTTTTGCTAGTTACCAGTGGATTTTAAAGGAACAGTGGAATTTCAGTTCGCGTTGAATCTATGACAAATATCTGTGGGGTTGTTCATGATTATCAGTCGAGAGGATTCAGGTCACGGGGCTAGATTATTCGAGATACAATTTGAATTTTCGATGCGGAGGACAGTTTGTTTTGCCGTTAAATGGATGATTTCTCTAGTTACCTGTTCAGGACCATATTCACCGATTTTATTATCGGGTACGAATTAATTTACAAAGGGATTTGTTTGAACTCAGGAATTACGTCGGATGAAATTTAATTCTACATTGGGCGAGATGTTTAGCTGTCGAAGTCGGACGTTGAAACGCTAAATTTTCAGAGGAATTTGGTCAGAGGAAAATTCATGTTATTAAAAATTGGACTTTTCTGTTTGTCTAGTCAAAGGCAATATTCACCTATCTTCGTCATCGAATACGGATTAATCATCAGGGGTTAGTTTTACGTTGGATGTGATTCTAATTGTCGAATTCGGAGTTGGGAACGTCTAAGGTTAATCAGATGAATTTATTTGAATGAACTTAGTCAGATGAATTTAGTTGAATAAACTTAATCAGACGAATTTATTTGGAGGAACTTAATCAGTTGAATTTAGTCGGATAAACTTTGTTAAATGAATTTATTCAGTTGAGTTTAATCGGATGAATTTAGTTGGAGAAATCTGATCAGGAAATAATTCAGTTTATTAAGAAAACCGAATTTATTCAAATTCTATATTTTTTATTACAATGTACAAGAATAATTACAAGATTAATTCCTAAGTTCTAAGGATTCCTAATTTTTCTAAGATTGTCTCTGCGTCTAAGTCTTCAACCTTTGACCTTTCGTATCTGCAAAAAAACCGGCAAGCAGCGAACAAAACAGCATCTCCATCACCACCGCGAGCCACCGCAAGACACCGGCGGATGAAGTGAAATCCGAATGCCTCAGATTTATGTCATCACCGGCAAGCAGCGAACAAAATGACCGACCACCCGCCGCGAAAGCCAAGCAAACCCGTTGATCCAGCCGCTTCAAACCTCAACGAAAGGTGAGCAGCTTATCTCTAACGGATGTTTTACTTTCTTTTTCTGCAGGAACCGTGAGAAGACGAAAAGATTCAGAGGAAAATGGAAGAAAACAGACGGAATAGCAAGGCCACAAGAGGGGATCTGCGTCGCCGCATGCAAAGAAGAAGAAGAAAAAGCTTCAATAAGCTCCCATGGAAGCAGCGCCGCAAGGAAGAAGAAGAATGGGGTTTCAAAACCATAAAGTTTGTTTCAGCAAACTAACCCCTTTTTCCCTTTTATTTCTTTTTCTTTCTTTCTTTTATTTATTTATTTATTTATTTATTTATTTTTTATAATTTTGTCTTATTAGTTTGGGTAATTATTAAAAT